TCAGAGGCTGTACTCCTAACTCCCATATTAAATAGTACCTTTCCTCCAAGATTTTGTCCAATCCCTTTTTGAATCTGGGTAAACTGTCACCTTGCACCATTGCTACAATCTCTAGTGGCAATGAGTTCCACACTTCAATTACACAGTTTGTGAAAAAGATCTTTCTTTTGTTAGTTTTAAATGTACTACCTACTAGATTCCTTTTATGACACCTAGGTCCTGTATTGTGAGAGACACGACATAATAAATCCCTATTTACTTTCTCTTTACCATTTACAAAATACTTTTTGTAAACTGTCACGTCCCCCCTCACAGGCATCTAACCCTAACCTGAATCTTCTTCTTTAGCAATTCCTTGAAGTTTGGATTCTTGATTCGGTCCGCAACATGCTGTTTCTGCCTTTTCCACTTTTTCATCTCCTGTTCTTGTAAGGTTTCAAAATACTGAGATGTTTGCAGCAGACTCTTCCTCCATTTGAGATGGTCCCGGGCAATAGTCTCCCACAAGTTGATGTCAATGTTACATTTTTCAAGTTGGTCTTGAGGATGTCCTTGAAGTGCTTTCTCTGTCTTCGTCTTAAGCATACATCTTGATTGACCTGGGAGAATCAAACTTGCTTGAGTCTGGAGTTCAACATCTGGATAATATGGACAGCCCAGCAAAGTTGATGTTGGATGATCATCACCTCAATACTCGTGGTGTTTACTTGCAAGGGGATGCTAATGTTGTTCTGTCTTCCTACTGGATTTGAAGGATCTTCTGCAGGCAACATTGGTACTTCTCCAATGATTTGAGGTATCTCCTGTATGTTGTCCATGCCTCAGCTCTGTACAGTAAGGTGGGGATCATGGCTGCTTGATAAAACATGAGCATGGTTTTAAATCTGATGTCACTGTAACTTCCTGTGCTGGTCACTAGTGCGCTTCACCCAAACTGGCTTCTTGGGTGCTGCTGTCACTTTAATGATTGACAGCTCACTGTCCAGTCAGGTATCTTAGGTGGTCCCCAGGGGTTCTCTTCTGCTGCGTCTTTGTTGGAATTAATTCATTATTGGGAGGAAGATCTTGTGTCCTGGCTTTCCTGGGTAACCTGTTCAATCTTTCTGTCTTTTTGCCTCGTGGCTCTGCCTCCCCTACACCCCGCCTTACGCCAACCAGATATTACTTCAGGCCGCGACTAGTGCTCATCACAGCACCAGTTTATTTGTTGTCCCCCTTAAGTTAGTCAAGTCCAGATTGGATGGTGTATCATTTGGCTTTAGGCTGCACACCAACTGGCTTTAGGCTGCACACCCTGGGCTATAACATAATACAATCAGTTCAGGGTGTGCTCTGTCCCCTTAAGAATCAAACTTCACCCCCCAGCACTAAGTGCCTTGTAGGCCAGGGTACCTGGTGAGCTCCTGGAGCCCTATTCGCCCTATATGTAGCCTATTAGGCAGCCACAGCATCTCTGGGCAATTCTTCCCTGGAGGCTCCTTCCTCTGGCTGCTGCCAGAGAACTAACTCCTGTTGGTCTTAGCCCTGGGGTTTATATGTGCCCAGTGCCCTGCCGCCTTCTGGTCAGCTGACTGGGTGCAGGTGCAGGCTAATTCCCTTGTTATCCTACTGCCATAGCAACCTGAACCTGTGGGGTTTCTGTCTGGCTTTTAGGGCCCTCCCCTTGACATTTTCTGCTCTTAAAGGAGCAGGGTCCTTAGTGCCCTGCAACAAAGTAGTTATGCCCTCCTGGGCTTAAGTTATTCCTCTCGGGTCCCTCCTGGGATGCCACCAGATGCCCTCTGAGGGGCTGCAAATAGCTCTGAGCCACTCTGGGCTCACCGGAGGACTTGTATCCAGTCTTCCCCAGTCTTCATCCAGCATGGTCTTTATATTTCCCCGGGGGGTCCAGCTGAAGAATTAGCATTGGCGGGCCGCTATAAAGCAGGCCCATGCTGGTGCTGGCGCCACTCCCAGCTCTCCCTTGGCCCAGGGCAATTTTTTTTCTTCTTTCTCTGGTGCAGTGTTTTTTCCTTCAGCAGCCCCATTCCAGTTGCACTTCTGGTTCCCAGCGGGGTCCCACCAGCTCCGCACCTTGCTTCCTCTAGGTAAGTATTTCTCCGTGGCAGTGTCCCCACCACAGTCATGATTTTCAAGCACCTATTTTCTCAAGTGTCCAAAGCCTGCATTTGTACAGTTGAAGCAATGTTGGATTTCTTCATCAATGTTAGCCTTCTGTGAGAATTGGCTTCTAAGGTACAGGAAATAGCCAACATTCTCCAGAGTCTCACTGTGAATCTGAATTGCTGGAGCTGGGGACTGCTCATTAAGAGCTTGTTGATGGAGGACTTAAGACTTCTGAGTCTAAAGACTTCTAAGCATGAATCCCATTTTCTTGTATGCCTTGGTAAAGATGTCAGTGATTGCCTGAATGTCTGCTGCTGAGTGAGATTGGGGTGGTCTTAGTTTAGGCTTAGAGTCAGCTGCGATTAAACAGTTTTCCATCCATCCATAATTTAGCTCCACTCTGACTGGAAGCTTGATGATCAGATGTAATGTTGCAGTATGGAATACTGAGTATAGGCCTATCCTCTTTAGTCTCTCCTCACATGGAAGCTTCTCCTTACCACTAATCATCCTTGTTGCCCTCTTCTGTACCTTCTCTGGTTCTTCTATATCCTTTTTGTGGTGTGGGGACCAAAACTATACACTGTATCCAAGGTGTGGTGCACCATGGATTTATGAAGGGGCGTAGTGATACTTTCTGTCTTGTTTACAATTCCCTTAATAATTCCTCACATTTTGTTTACCCTTTTGTTTAGCTGCTAAACACTGAGCTGATGTTTTTTAGTGAACTGTCCACAATGACTCTTAATTCTCTTTACTTTGTGGTAACAGCTAATGTAGAGCTTATTATAGTGTAGGTATAGTTTGGGTTATTTTTGCCTATGTGAATCACTTGACATTTATCTACCTTGAATTTCACATGCCCTTTAGTTGCCTATTCACTCAATAGGTCCAGATCCTTTTGTAGTTCCTTACAGTCCACCTTTCACAGAGAAGACAAATGCAAAAAATACTATAGTGTCTCCCTTTGGCCTTTCCCACCCCGCTGCTTTCCCCGCTCCCTTCCCTGCTATACCTTTTGTCTTTCTAATTTTTACCTGTTTACATTCTTACTGACATCCTGCCACACTTTTAGCTTCCCTCATTCCTTGGAGTCTCAGAACAGCAGAGACTCCCTATACCTGAATATACCTCTATATGTGGATCATTGAAATCTCCTATTATTACTGTGTTTTCTGCTTTGACAGCCTCTTTCAACTCTCTTGGCATTTCTAGCTCACTGATGCTGTCCTGGTCTGGAGGTTGATAGTATATCCCTTGACATACTTTTCCTATTGAAACATGGAATTTCTATCCATAGAGATTCTATGGTACCTGTTATTAGTTTTTAAAAAATACCTATTTGATTCCATGCAGCCTTTGATATAATGCCACTCCCCATCAGTACTACCTATTCTATCACTCCTATATAATTTGTACCCTGGTATTACAGGATCCCATTGATTTTCATCATTCCACCGTGTTTCTGAGATACCTATTATGTCAATATTGTTATTTACTGCTAAGCATTCATTTTATAACCCTTAGTTCTCGTACTGGTAGAAACAGTCATGGATATTACAGTTTATGCATATTACATTAGACAATCTGTAGATAAAACCAGGAATAACCTTGGTAGCAAGGCCAAGAAGCTGAAATACCAGAATCTGTCATTAGATGCCACCTTCAGGAGAGGTCCATGCATTCTGGGTCCCAAAAGGACAGAACTACCCTAATCCTGAGTCAGATGCCTAAGTTCTAAGAAGGGGCAGAAGTTCAGACACAGAGTCTCTATTAATCTACTTGCTCAGTACCTTGGTGCTTTTAATTGTTCATTGTAAATGCCTGATTCTTCCCACTCTTGGTCTAGCGATCATGGACAAAGCAATTTTTTTTTGGTATGTTAAAGCCTAAAACGGAGGCACCTACAAGTCCTGAACAGTGGGGAGCTTGTGGATACTTGCCATTATCATATTATCACTTTGGGAGACATTTGGCTGTCAAATTCTTAGAAACTGAAATACTTTGAACTGAATGCATTTTACAGCCAGTGCCTTTCTCTCCTTATACTCTGGATTCAGAAGAGCATCTGGTCCTGATTAAACTGTAGTGTGCTTAAGTATTATAGTAGCCAGAATAATTAGTAGTCATTTAAATAGTTTTTAAACTGAATGCTCCCTTAATGTTAATTACTTGAAAAAATTCTACTTCATTCTTACAGACGCATAAAAAATCCTACAGAAATATAAAAGTATACACAGAAGTATATATCATTGTACAATATGATAATAAGCCAAATATTGTTAAACACAAGGCACAATTAATGAATTGTACATGGAAATGTAAGATAATTTCTGGATAATCTACTTGATCTATTCTTACAATTCTTCCAAAAATTGCAACCTCTTTTCATTGAAAGAATATAGGAAGTATTTCAGGAACCAAATCAAAAGATACTGGAGTCTTTATTAATTTCTTTATTAAAGTCCATTAGAGACTAAGGTATCCAAATGACAAATCCAAATTGCATCTCTCTAATAAGCAGTCATTTAAATTACATCCATAAAGAGTTTGCTGCTAGTTTTCTGGAGTATCAACATGAGAGATCAGACATCTTTCATCTTGTAAACTGAAGTGTGAAGATAATGGATCTTTCTTCAAAAGGTGTTTTATTGATATGAATGTAAAACAGCAAATGCATTCCCCTCCCCCAATATAACATCTTACAAAATGGAGTCAGTAGAACAAACAATCATCAAGTTAACTCTAAACTGTAAGGTAACTGTTTTGTATCATATTTTTTGGTAATCAGAAGTACCAAAACATTTGGATGCTTCATACACTCCCTGCAGGAAGAACAGGTTACATATTTAAGCAACAATAGCACTCCTGGCACTCTGCAAAATCTAAAATGAACACATAGATTCATAGATTCATAGATGTTAGGGTCGGAAGGGACTTCAATAGATCATTGAGTCCGACCCCTTGCATAAGCAGGAAAATGTTCTGGGTTCAGATAACCTCGGCCAGATGCCTGTCTAACCTCCTCTTGAAGACCCCCAGGGTAGGGGAGAGCACCACCTTCCTTGGGAGCCCATTCCAGCTTTTGGCCACTCTAACTGTAAAGAAGTTCTTTGTAATGTCCAATCTAAATCTGCTCTCTGCTAGCTTATGGCCATTATGTCTTGTAACCCCAGGGACGCCTTGGTGAGTAGAGCCTCACCAATTCCCTTCTGCACTCCCATGATGAATTTATAGGCAGCCATAAGGTCGCCTGTCAACCTTCTCTTGCGGAGGCTGAAGAGGTCCAGGTGCCCTAGTCTCTCCTCGTAGGGCTTGGCCTGCAAGCCCTTAACCGTATGAGTAGCCCTTCTCTGGACCCTCTCCAAGTTATCCACATTCCTCTTAAAGTGTGGTGCCCAAAACTGAACGCAGTATCCCAACTGCGGTCTGATAGCACCCGATAGAGGGGAAGTATCACCTCCTTGGTTCTGTTTGTCATGCACCTGCTGATGCATGATAAAGTGCAGTTAGCTTTCCTGATGACTTCATCACACTGATGACTCATGTTCATCTTGGAGTCCACTAGGACTCCGAGATCCCTTTCTGCTTCCGTGCTACTGAGCAGGTCATTTCCTAGGCTGTAGGTGTGCTGGACATTTTCCTTCCTAGGTGCAGCGCTTTGCATTTCTCCTTGTTAAACTACATTCTATTGTTTTCTGCCCATTTGTCCAACCTGTCCAGGTCTGCCTGTAGTTGTTCCCTGCCCTCCGGTCAGAGTACACTTCACTCCCTTGTCCAAGTCACTGATGAAGACACTGAAGAGTATCGGTCTAAGGAAGGAGCCCTGTGGGCCTTCAGCAAGTTTTCAATTAAGAGGGACAAAAAACATAGTTTACATTCTCTTTCTTTTAAAGACAGTGGTCACTATTAAAAGACAACATTCTCAGTATTAGCAATTAAAGAAAGACCTTACATATTTCACTGTATTAAATAAATAACTGCCTTCTCCCAGAACCACTTTACTTTTAATAACTATTGTTAAATATGGACAGGTTAGTGTTAATCCAAAATGTGCATTTGTTCTTGGACACCCCTTGTTACATATGCTAGGTAATTCTGAGCTCCAAAGTAAAGATATTACCCCAGTGGCAGTATCATAGCCTGTGAAGATCAACTGAGTCATAATTATAGTTAAGTGAATTCAGTTTACATCTGAAGTATTTACCTCCTTTACCTGTCCAAAAATACAATTGTCCTTTCTGTTAATAACAGTTGTAGATTAAATTATCTTCTATGAACATTAAGTTCCAATATACGAATGCCAATTTTCCGTCTTCCCTTCATGTCATTTCCATTCTTCAATTAAACATCTTTGTTTCCATAAACAGATCTGTATACTTATGTCCATTTCCAATTTTTGACTATTTTTAAAGAGTTGAGTCTGCTTTTCAATCTGGATATTCATGTATTTTCTATAAAAAAAGAGCCTAGACTACCATTTTTAACATCTGATGGAGTCAATGTCTTTACACACATTACAAATGTGTTGCTTGGTGAATATCAATGGATTACTGCCTAGTTAACCAGTTAGAAAGTAGGGAAGATATACATCTTGTAGATTAACTAAATAAGATATACGGAGCATAAGTTTTTGTGTAATCAATCTCACTTCATCAGATGCCATGAAAGGACAAATATAGAGCAGTGTATAAACTGGAGAGAGTGATTAGAATACAAAAGATGAGAAGGGAAGAGGAAGGAGGTAAGGGGAACAGCAAACAACCCCGCCCCCCCATAGGAACAACGGGGTTACAAAAGCTAATTCAGGTAATGGCATAACCCAAGCAAGACAGGTGACAAATGCAAGGAGTGCCCAG